TCCTATCGAATTTTTTTTTTTAATACAAATTTTTTTTACATCGAAATATTACATCTAATAGCTTTATTTTTATTGTAAAAAATATTATGAGTATAATCTAATTACAAAAATTATGTTTATGAGATTTTATGTATAAAAAACCGTAGGATATTAGAATTTAAATTATTAAAAAAAATAAAAATTATCTTATGAAATTGATGGTTTTTATCTAAATACCCGATTTATAAGATGTTTTTTTCATAAAAAAAATTTAAAACTTTTAACCCAATAAAAAACTTTACCTTCTGTAAAAATTTTATGTCTAAATATTTTAAAAGACAGATAATTTGTTAGAGATCACAAGAAATATACATAATTTTATATAGATTTGAGAGTTTAATTTCAAGTGTAAAAAGCAACAAATAATGATTTAGGATTTAAATTATTTTAAAAATAAAAAATTATTATATTTTCACATTAAAGATTTTATCCTAATATGTAATCAATGAAATATCATATTTACAATTTTTTTTTGAAAGATATCATATTATTGTCATATAACTAAGAACAACGAATAAAATACAAAACAACAATAAATGAAGTCGCGATATAAATTACATTAAAAAAGTTATACTTTTGTAATTGACAATATCATTTTAATTAAATTATTATTTGTTTTTATTTTTTTTGTCTGAATTAAATTATAAAATAAGTCCAATAATTATATATATATATATATTAATAAAAAAAAACTTAGAGTATATAAGAAATATTTTTTCTTGAGATATATGTATGAAAATCTATGCATCGCACAGGCTTTCATCTAATTATTTTACATATTATTTAAATATATTCTATTTAAATAAAAAATATTATGAGTATTAATATTTCCTTTCTCATATTTACAATTTATTTATATTTATAATTTATTTATATTTAATAAATTCATATTTACAATTTAATAATATTTATATTTAAATATTATGAGCTCAGTAAAAACGAATTAGATGAAAAAATATCATATTTATAATTTATTTATATTTAATAAATTCATTATAAATTATAGTAAAAAAAATAAATATTAAACTTTTGTAATCTTGTCTGAAATTATTAAATACAATAAATCAAATAATTAAAAATCTTAGATGAAAAAACCGTGCATCGCACGGGCTTCCATCTATTAATTAACAAATGACGTAAAATTACTTATTAATTAACAAATTACGTAAATATTTATAATTATAAAAACAAATGATTTATTCAACAAAAGTATTATCATTTTGCCCCGGGCCACTAGAATGTTAGAAACAGCTATGCTTATCTTTCTGATTAAGAGCCTCAGGGTCAGCCCTACGGCTCGGCCGCTGTGATACTGATCTTTGATAATTAGCCTCCATTGTTATTTTCCCTCAACTTCTTACCATTCCCCAGAAACCCAAATCACCAAAAGCACCCTGAGCACAATAAACTCTGATTTAAAAACAAAAACCTAAAAATTTTACTTAATTCCAGACAGTAGAAGGTGAATTAACCACTTCAATCTAACCACATACTAGGTATTGTACTAATATGTGTGAGGAAAAATAGCATTTAATTAAAATTTATAAATATTACAAGTAAAAGTAAGAAACTTTATTGATTTTATGTTGAATGCTGATTAATTTTCAATCTTCAAGAAAAGAATGATACACCCAATTCATATTTTAATTTCGTGCCATTTACAAACCCATAAATTAGGCATTGCCATTGTTATGGGCAAAGAGCAATAAATAAATTAATACTAAGGGTAAAAAGCATGCAATTTAATCTTGCAATTCAAATAAAAAGATAAAATCTTTAAATGATTACAAGAAAAAACTAACAATGAATAATTAAACCCCATGAATGAAAATAATAAATTCTATGAGAATGAATGATTTTATCATTAGAACAGAATCGAAGTAACAAACCCAGATCTGAGGACATATAAAGTGAGAAGTTACTTACAAGAAGTATGAATGTCGAATATTACGCGATAGTTTAGAGTAATTAACTGGGGATCCAAGACTCTTTAAATCGATTGATAGAGTAATTTTTAAAGAACTCATGCACTCCTCACTCCGCAGGTGAAATTTCCCTTTCTTTTCTCTTGAATGGATGAAATTTTTTATTTTTCCCCTTTTTGTCTTCTTAATTTTACCATTGAACAATTGATTTTCTATTAGAGGAAATGGGCCTAATGACCCTAACCTTAATAGAATAAGATTTGGATTCAAAATTTTGGTGGCAGACATTTATTTGGTGCACATATTCAGGGCGGTATAGAGTGCGAGTTAGACCGCACCAAAGCGTAATTAATTTTTTGATCTTCTAGCTATTAAGCTATTAAATAATATTTTTTAATATAAAACGTCGAAAAAGGTCTATTTTGAGCATGTTCATGCTCCTCTCGTACGTTCATGATATTGCTTTCACATGGTTCTTAAAATCTCGAATAAATGAACTCTAATGGACTTAACTTGCTTGTTTCATATCACGCTTGACAGCGCCTTGACTTCAGATTTTGCGGTTTAGTGCGGTTTGCTGTTTGAAAATTACGGTGCGGTTTTTGAAAATGATCAAACCGCGGTTTGCGATTTTTGCGGTTTCAAAAAATATTTAGACCAAACCGCACTTTAATGCGATTGCGGTTTTTATACTATATTTTTATTAAAAAAAATATAAAAGAACTAAAATATATGAGCTAACCTTTGACTATTAGTTAATTAAAGGTTAAAAAAAAGAGTTTCATATTAGAATTATAAATTAATAATTACAAAATAAAATAAAAGTTTTGTTTTATAAAGTATAATTATAATTTTTAAAAAGTATGATTAAACTGCAAAGCGCACCGAACCAAACTGCATTTTGCGGGGCGGTTTTTTTTAGAAATGTGGTTTGGTGCGGTTTGAAAAAATTACAAACCGTAAACACCCCTACACATATTTGTTGTAAATCTTTATCATATTTGCTCTCTACAATTACTTTTTTATGGATTTAAAATTTATTTTTACTAAACTGAACTTAGTGAATTGAAATAAGTATAGTCGTGAGTTTGTGTCAACAAAGTTACCAATTCATATTTGATTTCTTGCTTAATAAATAAATCCTTCAATTTATCTATATAATACATTCAGTTCCCTAAAAGAAAAACAAAATTGGAAGCATGCCACATAAAAAATTATTGAATTTATCTATTATGATCGATATTTTATTTTACCTTTAGAGGGCGTTTGGCATGCGAAAATGGAAATTTGGGGATTTAAGGATGGAAAATTGGTGTTGGGAATTAATGAAAGGGAGTAATAATCCATTGTTCGGTAGTTTTTAGAAATACGTTGATATTCACTAAGAATTACATCATTGCCTTTACAATTTGGTCATTTCATTTCTCTCTTTCCAATTACCAGCCACCTTAGGGCTCGGGTAATAGAAATGTGGGAATTAAGTGGGAGTTTACTTCTCATTTCCTTAAAACAAACAAGGAAATTAGTTATGTTGGGATATAAATTTTCATTCCCACCCTCTTAATCTCACATACCAAACATCATGTTGATACTTTATTTTGGTTTGAATTAATCTATATAAGTATTAAGTATTCATATAACAAACAAAATAAACCCAAGACTAGCAACACAAAGACGGTACACATATCACTTTGCAATGGTATAAAAGGACACATTTACCTTTGAATCTTAAAACTACTAGCTGTTCAACCACCTTACCATCAGCATCCTGAATGAACACAGATTTTTGCAATTCCTGTGCATCCACTTCTGGCTTTCATGGCCACCTTCTCCTGTTGAGCCAGCCTGATTGGTCGAATTACCCCAATCCCTAGCTAAAGCCCCCGCTTTGTACGGGATTGTTTATAGATATTGTTTATGCCAAAAATCGATTAAAGAGACGACCTTTAGTTGCGATGCCGATAACTAGATTAAAAGAGATTGCGAAATGTAAACGATGGAAATAAAAAGAAGATAGACACGATATGGTGACACGGAAAACCCCAATGAAAGTGGGTAAAAACCGCGGGTGGCTACTTGTCTACCAATTCACTATGATACGAGCGTTTATAGCCTTTATTGATACAAATACAATGAATATTCGGGCATCTAAGGCCATAGATAGTAAAGAAATACATAAGAATAAGAGATTAAGTATACATTATAGCTATTGAGAAGAAGCATAAACGTTGGGTCGATCCTTGTAACTTGTAGAACAATCAGATGAGACATGTTGTCGAGTAGATCGTCGAATAGAGCCTCGTGATGTACCTTTTGATGATGTATTTTGTAGTGAAGTTTTTATGGGTGTTTATTTTATGCTTGGAATATGGTGTGTATAATCTATATCATCTGCCTTTGTGGCTGGTCGTTGCCCTCCTTTTATAGGGCTTTAAGTGGTAGAAATCGGTTGAGGAAGATAAGGGTGAATCCCTTGATTTTTAGGAAGTAGTTGGTTGATTTCAAGACTTGGTCTCTTGATGAATGTAGACTGATATAGGCTTCATATTCATGATAACAACCTCCTTGACTGGTTAGAGGCTAGTAAAAATGATCTCCTTATTTATAGGAACCACTAGTAACAACCTTGACTTGTTCCGCAGCTTTCTAGTGTCGCAATACGATGCACGTCCTGTTTCGGACGTCGGCGTTGTGGGTCACTAGAGGCCTTTAGATGTCACTATAATTGTCGGGTGTCGAGTATTGACGTCCGTCACTGAGATGCGCCGTCATTAAGATGCGCCATTGACGTCAGTTGTTGCTTGGACATGGAGTGTAATACCCCTCATGATTGCTTTAAGAGGATTTGATATACTACTCATATCAACAAGGTGCATCTTCCTTTTAGGGAGCTCATATGCTAAGATACTTCTCAGTTAAGTGTGCTTGTGTTGATGCGCTTTTCGTGACAATAGGCCCCTCTCTAATTTGTTTTGTCGGTGAAGACTGGAGAGGAAGCCTCAAGGGGCAAAGCTGTCTTTTCATATGAACTTTAAACATACACCCAAAAATCAGTGAAATTGAGAAAGAAGAACATAAACTGGTGAATACCAGGACGAAGAACTCTCTAGAATGTTAAAGTTAATGGCATTATATGGTAGAGAGAGATTATAATGGTGAGTGAGAAAGAAGCAAGAAAGCAACAATGGAGAAAGAAGTTTTGGAGGCTGAATTAGTTTTACCTACTCACTTAAGCTTCAAGAAAGTTCAGATGTATGAAAAATACCCAAAAGGTCAATCCAGAGGCAGACATTGGAAGCATCTTAAACAGATTCTTCAAGCTGAAAATTACCAAAATTACCCTCTTGATGAACCCAATTGTAAGATTTTTCCTTTTTAATCTTTTTGAATTTATTAAGCGTTTCTGTTAATGGTAATTTTTTTATTTTTGTTGTTGTTTCTGAATTGGGTTTTGATGCAATTATTGGTTTATGTGTTAATTTTGTTGTTTTGAATTGTGATTTTTGCTTGGGAAGAACAAAAAAGGATGAGTTTTTTACGGGTTTGGAGGTTGTAATCAAAAAGTTTGGACCTTTATGATCATTGTGAATGAATTTCTTTTGGGTGTGTAGATTAGAGTCATAGGGAAAATGATGTAGACGGAATTTAATTTGAGGAGGGTACGTGTAATCGTACTCGTACCCCTAAGAGCCTTAATTAACTAAACTATGTGCTATCTACCATCTACATTGTGATTTGTGGATGGATTAAAATAGAGAAATTATGGGTTTTAGCTTTCTGTATTGAATTCATTGTGAATTGTGGTTTTTTTTTTTTTTTAGGTTTTTTTTTTTTTCCTCTTTACCTCCAAGCTATTCAATTTGTTTTAATGGAATTAACACTGATTTTCTTACCCCTATTGGGTATTTGCCTTCACAGATATGAACGTTGAGGCACCACCTTCAATGCATCCACCCAAGAGAATTTGTGATATTACTGGATATGAGGTGAGACACTACCATGTTCTCATGTAAACTATACTATGACTCCATATGCTAATAACACTATGACTCCATAAAAATACCACGAGCAGTAGGATGTCGTGGTCTGAATTTCAAAGTGAAAACTTTGATCTGTGTTTCAGCTGTCTTGGGCAAAATGGAAGGATGTAATAAAGAGATTATTCCCTAAGAGCTTGTAGAATTGATTATTGCATGAAAGTATCACTACTTCAGTACTGACATCTTTAAGCTAATACCTTTTGTTTGCTTACCATAGTTAAGTTTTAGGGTTGGTATTTGCGATTTTCAATACCTTTTGTTTGTGCTCATCAAAAAGGTATGGTGTTGTCGTGTTGTATCATTGTTTAGATGAAGTCTTTTATTTCTTGAGGCTAACTATATCCCTCTGAGTTGTGAAGAGATAAATCTCAAGTCATGTTCATAAGGGCAAGAAATAGGAAGCGAGTTTTGATAACAATACAGAAGGAAATATTCTCATATTTTCATGATAGGTGTTATATAGTATAGCTGAAGCTCTTTCATCATTATACACAAAACTCAGGGTTCCTATTTGTCGATAATAGGAAGCGAGTTCTGATAATAATACATAAGGAAATATTCTCATATTTTAATGATAGGTATTGTATAATATACTGAAGCTCTCTCATCATTTTACACAAGTCTTAGGGTTCTTATTTGTCGATCTTTCAAGGGACCAAAAAATCATGCTAAGGCTATACAACTTCTATGTCACTCTTCTGAATGCATCTCTCATTTACTGTTTTAGGGGCTCAAAAGTTTTGAAAAGTATAGCTCTTTAATAGCCTCACTAACCTTGAAGCCTGGTAAGAGAAGTGGAACACAGTTGGATATCTGCTTCTCAGATAGATTTTGTGTAATACTATGTAGATAACTAAACCTTTCTCCTAGATCTCTTCACCGATGTATATTGATGATTTTTAGTAATAGGTGTTGTATGATTTTTAAACCAATTTATGTGAATTGTGATACATGATAAATGAGCTACTGACAATACTCCCCCCATCCCTTCTTGCTTTGAAACATCATTAATTTGTAGTATTTATATATATAAGAGTATATATATGCAAATTAGAGTTGGTTCTTCATAGTTTGATTTTTCTGATGCGCTAGAAATTTTCTGTGCCATTTTATGCAGGCACTATATTATGATCCAAGGACCAAATTGCGTTATGCCAATGCTGAAGTCCTTAAACTCGTCAGGTCACTTCCCAATGATTATGTGCAACAGTATCTGGCTCTTAGGAATGCTGCTGTCATCCTTAAGTAGTTTTACCTCCCTCAAACAATGTTCTGCTCAGCTACCTGACAAGTTCTTATCATTGAATTCAACCAAAATTGCTTTTGCTCTACCATGAAATCTTGCAATGTGCAATCTGAATCAAGTTAGGCATCTAGGTTGTGCTTCTGATATTTAAGAACTTGTATAGTTGTATTAGTTAGTTGGCTAATTGGGTTTTGTATGTTGCTGAATTGATAATGATCTTGAGTGTAGTTTTGTATGCAATTTCTTAAACACTTGGTCAGTGTTTCCAGGTTTTTATAAAAAAAATATATGAAAAAACTTGCTCATGTAAATGGAGATTACACATTTACGCTACCAACTTTCCATTGACATTCTCATCTGGCATCATACCTAAAACTTACCTCAAATTTATTACTATCATCTTAGAGCTTGCTTGGATTATTTCAAGAAATAATTTTATTTCACATCTAATTGCATTTCTTAGAAATTGCATAGTGTTGTTTGATTGATCATAAAAAAAAATTAACTAAACATTCCATGAGAATGAGAATCTTCTCAACAATCACAAGTTTAGAAAATTATTAATCTTCACAAGTTTAGTCCGTTCAGTATCGTTGTTATTGTGAACTGACTAAGTTATGATTTGAATCTTAAATCAAATCTCGCCTACATCTATCTATCACACTAAAACAGAGGGCACTCAAAATGTACTTTGACACGTGTCGCTCTATGGCTAAAAAAAATTCCCTCCTTATTTTCTCCCCTAAATACATCAACTAAATCAAAATTTTATCTGATAAAATAATATAAATATTTTATACTACTTATTATTTACAAGTTACCATAATATACCTATTTTCTTAATATAATTTCACATATGAAATCAGTGACTGATATAATCTCTTATTATAATTGCTTATAATATCATACATCAAATTATTTGTATTATCTTTTTGACAAAGTATTTATTCAGATTTATTAAAATATGTGTATGTCTAAACCTTTTAACACGTGGAATTTCATAAGAATTATAATAGTCTATACTATACAAAAAAACAAGCATTTAAAACCAAACTAACTGTTATTGCCTTAACGTTAAAAAAATTTCGCTTCTTTCCCCACCCTAGCCTTAAGTAAAAGACTTTATTTTGAAAATATCATATTATTAATGGATCATGATAAATTAAATAACTAATGAAATCTCAATACTTTTTTGTTAGCTATAAATGATTGCCAAAATATTTTGTCAATAAGATATTACAAGATTATGGTAATAGAATATATACCAAAAAATTGATCTTTTAAGGCTGATATTCATGCTGCAAAACATTATTTATATCAGACATATATGATACACTTAGTAAACAAATTTGTTTTAATATAATTATTAATAATTCAAGATAACAATATGATATTTTTAATAATAAATTGAGATTCAATAAACTAAATATATTAACGCATTTGTTATAGTATATGAGTATATCTATATTTATGATAATAGTATTATTATTACCAACGGATATAATAAATTATCTTTTCATTATTGGATGGTTAGGACTTGATCCTAAAAATAAAATGACATTATTTTATTATGTTTTAGGGTACATTCATAGTAGCTAGCTACTTACCGTCGCTTTACCATTGGAAGAAAATTCATAAATTTATAAATGTATTTTTAGTTGGAGATGGTAAGTTAGGGGAGCCAAATTACGATGAAGGAATAATAATAATCCCTAATGAAAGAGAAGCATCTAATTTTATCGTAGAAAGTAGTTATCCTTCTATTTTGCAGAATTTATGGGATACAAAATACATTCAAGAAATAACAATCGCCCAACTCATGATATACAGGTATTATGAATAATTATTTACTATCAAGTGATGAGAAAATATATTTGAGTTCTAAAGTATATGCAACCCGAATGCAAGCATGGAGATTAAAGACCTCTATTTAGTTCAATTCCTAAATACCCTCAAATGTTAACTAATTTTTTTTTAAAACCAAAGTTATGTTTGGTAAACTAATTTTGGAATGAGTTTTTTCTTCTTTTATTTAATACGTACTTGAAGTATTAGTTTGGGCCAAAATGTCAAATCCATCTATCCTTTTAGATTTCCAAACCCCATATCTTGGGTGATTGAGGTATGGGTTAAAAATTTATAAAATTTAGGGTTTTTCTACATGGTAATCTCGTTTTTTTTTACTTTTCTACATTGTGACCTGACAAATATTGAATTTCTACGCTGTAACCCTAAATTACGAAACGTTACTACATGGTGACCTCGCCGTTAACCTGACGTTAGTATATTTTGTTAATGGGGCCCATTTTCTATTTATTAATATTTTTTATCGAGATGCGCGTTGGAAAACCTTCCATTAAAGGTTTTAGGGGCTATTTTAGTCCTTAAGGGTCCAAATTGAGCTCAGATTTCACAAAAAAATAACATAAATCCCTCGTTTTGCTTATTAAAAAATGTCTCGATTTACGTGTTCACGTTTTAATAAACAAAACGAGGCATTTACGTTAATTTTTTGTGAAATTTTGAGATCAATTTGGGCCCTTAAGGGCTAAAATAGCCCCAAAACCTTTAACGGAAGGTTTTGTGACGCGCAAATCGATAAAAAAATATTAATAAATAGAAAGTGGGCCCCATTAACAAAATACACTAACGTCAGGTTAACGGCGAGGTCACCATGTTGTAACGTTTCGTAATTTAGGGTTACAGCGTAGAAATTCATATTTGTCAGGTCACAACGTAGAAAAGTAAAAAAAACGAGGTCACCATGTAGAAAAACCCTAAAATTTATTTAACACAAAGTTTCATATGTGGTTAACCACACCGTGTGGATGAAGTTAATTATTCAAGGGTTACTCGGTCGGTCAGAGGTTACGCGGTTAGGGGTTTCTCGGTCAGACATGGGTTACTCACTCGATTGGGGGTTACTTGGTCATGGATTACTCGATTGTTCAGGGGTTACTCGGTCGATCAGGGGTTACTAGGTTGGTCAGGGGTTACTCAATTGGTTGAGGGTTACCCGTTTAATGTTTTGGTGTGTGTCAGCCGGTCACACAGAATATGCGTTGTTTATTTAATTATCAACCAAACACATGGTATGAGTTTAAACCATTTAAAACCTATACTTCATTCATATATTTCATGAACCAAACGACCCCTAAATAGATATTCGTAACTTTAATTTATATTGGTGTAAGCAATTTTGATCATTTAATGATAAAGATATACAATATGGACAATATAATCGTAAATTCGATTTTTACGTTCTATGACAACATTATGGAAGTGAGAGAGTATGTTTTTATAGTTAGCTTAATTAAAACAAAAATACACATGAAGGATGTTGCATGAGATATGTAAATGGACATAAATCATTTTGGTCTAAAAGGTCAAATTTAGGGATTTGTTAAACATCGCCCGCAAATTACCATATAAAGCCCACAAATTAGACTTGGTATGACAATTATGCCCATTTTCTAAAATTGAACATATCTCGATCTAAAAAATGTGGAGCCGTACTGGCTCGCCGGGGGAGACCGAAGGGCAAGCCGGAGATGCGGGGGACGCCGGAGGTACGTCGTCGTTGACGGAAAACGAGGTAAATCACCGTTAAAATTCACGTTGTATGTAACGGCGTCTGAAAAAGGTGGTCGTGCAGTGGCGCAGGCGCCTAGGTTGGACGCCAGTACCGTAGCATGGACGTCCCAGCCAGACTCCAAAACCACCGCACCGGCGTCCAGCCAAGACGCCAGAACCACCAGACAGGCGTCCTGGCAAGGCGCCAGTCCAGTGGCTGTGGCGGCCCAGCCAGGCACCAGTCGAGTGGTTGTGGCAGCCCTACCAGGCGCCAGCCCCTGCTGTTTATTTATTTTATTTATTTTTTCTTTTTTAATTTTGTTGTTGTTTTTTTTTTAAATTTGAAAAATCGAAAATGTATTAAAAAAAAATTCGAAATTAAGTTTGAAAATTCAGAATGGTTTTTTTTTAAATTAAGTTTGAAAATTCGAAATGATTTTTTTAAAAAATTAAGTTTGAAAATTCAGAATGGTTTTTTTTAAAAAATTAAGTTTGAAAAATCGAAATTGTATTAAAAAAAATTGGAAATGGTTTTTTTTTTATTTAAAATTGAAAATTCAAAACAGTTTTTTTTTAAATTAAGTTTAATAATTTAATGTTTTTATTTATGATGTGAGTAGATTTGTGTTAATGTATATTATTATGCTTTAATTGTTTATGTGTATGAATACTTTTATAAATGATTGTGTTTTAAATTTGTATGTGTATGAATAATATTATACATAATTATGTTTTTAATTTTGTGTTAATTTTGTGTAAATATAGAAATTAAATGTATTATCCGGTAAATGTAGAAATGAAATTTACAAATTAAAAATGTAGATATTAATTATGTGTTAATGTTGTGTTAAATGCATTAATTAAAGCTTGAATTAATATTTATTATAATATATAATTGATGCAGGATTATGGTGGAGACGGAAATGATTACAATGGGATATTTGGACATGATGGTCCATTCGAAGATGCTCAACAAGCGATTGATTGGGCAAAAAAGGTTGCAATTACAACTGGATTTTGCTTGGTAGTAGTAACTCATAAATCTCAACGGGATGGTAGAATGGATCGCATTTTGAGATGCGACCGTTATCGCAAAAGAGAAGAAAGAGATTTTCGTACAACCACTCGGTTTGATACAAAGCAGAAAGGTTGTGGGTGTGAGTTCAGAGTAAAGGTTCGACAACTACGGAGTCGTGACGGTTGGGAAGTGATTGGTTACTCTAAATTGGGGTATCACAACCATGAGATGATAGTATATGAAGAGGGTCACCGACAGCTGAGCGGCTTAAGTCCTGCTGCGAAACTAGTTGTGAAAGAAATGAGTGATGCTCAAGTCAAGCCTGCTAAAATATTAGCATCTATGTTAGAGAAATTTCCAGAATACCATCCAAACCGAAGACACATCTACAACGTCAAACAGCAACTCAAGTTTGAACGGTCAGAGGGAAGGAACCCTATACAGCAGCTGCTACACTAGGCACAATCACGTGGTTACCTGTTCTAGTTTGATTCTGATGAAGATACAGCGGAGGTGACTCATCTTTTCCTTGTGCATCCTGATTGTGCTGATATGATCAAGTCTTGGCCATTTGTGATTTTGATCGACTCAACATACAAGACAAACAAGTACAAGTTCCCACTGGTTGAGATCATGGGGATGACTCCAACGAACCAGAACTTTCTGATTGGTCATGCAATCATCAAGGATGAGACGCCTCAAAGTTATTATTGGGTCTTGGAGAAGCTGAGAAACTACATCG